AAGGTTGGCGAGGCGGAGAAGAAGAAGAAGAAGAAGGTGGTGGTGGATTCGTGGGAGGATGAGGAAAGTGTCTTCGAGCGAGGAATCGGAGGCGGAGTCGGAGAATGCTTGGAGCGAGGGGACGGGGCAGACCGGGACTGGTTTTGACGAGGGCTAGTGATGGGGATGGCCCGTCACTTGTTAAGGTTTGTGAGGCGTTCCGCAGGGTCCAGCGCGAGTTTGATGACTTGTTCTTTAAGATGTGGGCTTGAGCGAAAAAGACGTGTGGGAGTGGGGCTTATGTGTGGTTATTTAGTTTGGGAATTTTGTTCTTACTTTACTTAGCGTAGGTTTTTCTCATGATGGAAAAGCAACATTTATTTGTGTTGTCTGTAAAATTGGGGCATCAAAGACCTGGAGATTGGGACGCCACAGAACGCGTCAGTGTGGCCGAGATGGGAAGCAATCGATAGCTCCCGGTCAGGTGGCTTCGAGGGCTTGCTTGGGTGAAGTGCTGTCTCATATATTACTGCCGTTCGTCACAGATGCCGTCTTCGGCCACTTTGACCTCTAATACCTGGCTGAGGCAACATATTATAACAGCTTCAACTAACCTGCCGTTGGCTTGTTGGAGAACGACACAGCACATCGTTTGAGTTGCATGCCCCTGTCTTCGGAACGCATCCCCGGAGGCCGGCTTCTGCGGGTCTCGCAAATTCGGTTGGGCGGCTTTGGCGGGCGCGGCTGCTCCCTTTTCCAGCACCTGAAAACATTAAAGTGGCATGCAGCCCGCGCGCGCGCGCCAAGACGTCCACAGCAGGCGTTTGCACCACACAGTTGTCAGAATATCGGGGTGGAGGCTTCGGATATGAAGAAAACGGGGCATGTTTAGCTTGACCATCACTTCTCATTTCGACGGGTAAAAACCCCAAGGGGACCCACATGTCGGAGTCTGAACGAGGACACACCGAAAAATACAACGGACGCGGAACAAGCGCGGACAACAACCATACTTGATTGCCTGATTGGACCAGTGAATCCCGTATTCTGACAACAGTGAAAGCAAAGGAGGCGCCTGAGGGATTTCGTCAGGGGTGAGATTGGAATCATTGGGCACAGCGTGTGAACTTTCCCTCAACCACCGAATAACAAACAAATTGGGGGAATTATTTGACAGCCCTTGCAAACTACTATCGTGGCTCGCTTTACGGCCAGCGTCAAACCGGTCTTGGACGAACTTAAAAGGGACGATATCGGACAGGATTCCAAGAATTGCCTTGGCCAGACGACACGGGTTCGGGCTCTCACCGTCCCCTTGGACTATTAGACGAACGTTCCAAACCCATCCTCAGCCGCACCATGAAGTTCCTCAAATCATCCAAATCACCACCCCTCCCTACCCGCGACTTCCACTTCATCCCCATCCCCAACACCCCGATCAACCCACCCCCCCTCACCCTCACCCACACCACCACATGGACCTACTGCGGCCCGCTCCTCCCCCTCAGCAACACAACGACCAACAACCCGCCCACGCCACCCACCACAACCTCCCTCTCACCAACCTTCCACGCCTGGTGCGCGCACACTCTCACACCCACCTCCGCGCCGCATCTCCTCCCCCGCCTAACCCCCCTCCTCCACGCCATCCACGCCTTCCTGCGCCAGCACCACCTCCACCACTACTGGCTGACTCTCCGCGCCTCCCAGCCCACGCCCACCTTCGACACGCCCCGCTGGCACGCCGACGACGACTTCTTCGACCCGGCGCGCAGCGACGCCGCGCGGGGGCGCTGGAAACTCTGCGCCACCCTGCAGGGGCCCGGCACGTTGTTTGCCGCGGAGGGGGGGACGGCGAGGGGGGTGTTGAGGAGGGCGAAGGAGAACTGGGAGGACGGGTGGAGAAGGAGAGGCCGCATGTTTGTCCAGGGGTGAGGTGCGTTGCCTGTGGGCGGACGAGTGAGGTTGTGAGGGAGGAGGTGAGGGTGGGGTTGGAGAGGGAGGGGGTGACGGTGGTACACCCCGGGAAGGGGGGAGATTGGTGTTTTTAGGGTTGTGGGGAGGAGAGGCGTGCATTCGGAGCCGAGGATTGATTGTGATCGGGTGTTTGTGAATGTGGTGCCG